TGGTATAATTCAGGCATAAATACATTAGTGATATTTATAAGTACACGACTTTAGGCAGTTGAAATGTTTGGAAAGTCTGAATTAGCCTGAAGATAAACTTTTTGTGCCGACGCCCCTCAGAAATAAAGGAGTTGAGACTAATATCCTAACTATATTGTATTTGAATGCTTGTTGTAAGTTATTATAGTTAGTAGCTAGTTATAAAAATGTTTACATAAACCGTTGGAGAATTGCTGCAATTTTAGGCATGAAACGAATGAAATTTAAGCATGCTGCTTAACTTTCCAACAAAAAGTTTAAAATTTAAATGCACTAATCTATTTAATTCGATTTCCGTTGGGAATGTAAACATGTTTACAGCAGTGTGTATGTGTTTATGCATGTATATGTGTTTTAATGCATGTATGTGTGCGTCAAAAATCCATTTAACACCGCTCAAATGCCGGCCACGCCATTTTTATTATTGACTTGCTACATTTTTTGCTGTCAATTTTGTTACACCTTGCAGTCTCCGCGCATCAACACACACACGCACACATAAACACATATATGTAAATGTACTTATACATAGTCGAGCGTGTCCGTCACTCGATTTACATTTGGCGCTGCACACAATTTGTTTGTTTACCTTAATTTATTATATACAATTACGAATTTCATTTGACCGGAATCACTTTGCTTACACACACGCACATATAAATGTTTATACATATTCACATATAAGTATGAATGTATGTCTGTATGTCTGAATTTGAGCAATAGCCGGCTGCAAAATACAGTTGTAATGCTTGTACTTGGATATGATTTTTCGCTATGAACACATTTTATACAAAATTTCCGCAATACAAGTCTACATATACATATATATATATATAGTATATATGTATTTTATATATATGTATGCATGTGCGTTTAGTAAGTAATGCACACGTGTGTACTTAAGTGTTACAAGTATGCATTTATCTAAAATAAGGCTCATTCCCACAACAGTGTTTAGCTTAGGTAGCCAAACGAGAGTATTGTACAATATGTGTATGTATGTGTACATGTGTATGAGTGTATGAATGTATTCATATTTGTTGTTGTTGTTAGTTTAATGAATTGCATGAATTTAACAGCTAAATTGCACATGCACCAACACGCACATACACACATCGCCACATAGCCACATAGCCACAAAAACACCGAAACACGCACACCCATACACTAAACCGCAAAGCAACTGCACACACACACACAACCGCGCACTTGTGAGCTACGCACAGGTAATCGACACAAGTGATGTGTGTTAAGTGCTTTTGCGGCCGCTTTTGCCATCAGCTGACGCCTTCAAATGCACGTTTATGCATGTAAATGTGTCCAATTGTTTGTAATTGCGGTTTACTAATCCACACGCACACACAAACACAGACATACACATTTTGGGCGCCTCAATTCATTACCCTTTGCGCACATTACTCAATGATCTCAGATATTTCACTATGCTCCTTTGCTATTTATTACAAATATCTCTGCAAAGTCGCCAAACACACACGTGCCGCGCTCAAGTTCAAGTATTTATGTGGTCTACAGGGCGTATGCGTAACATGATTATATTAAACGCGTGTCTGCAGCGGACTACAATTTGTTTGCCAACAGTGGCGCATAAAACTAGTTCGACCCACATTTTTAATGATTTATTGTGACATTTCTGGACTTAAAATTTAATACTTTAATATTTTATAATTTTAAGGAAATTTTGTTGAAGACATTTTGGTAGTGAACGTAGAATATACTTGTACTCGTATATATTCAAATTATGTATATAAAGAATACTTTTTACGGGTTTTATAAATACATTGGTATGTTAGTTTTACAATTTTTGTAACTATAGTAACAACAATAAAAGCCTTAACTTCGTTTTTACCTAAGCTGTAATACCCTACACAAATTCAAGTTCTCTTCCAAGTATTTGATATTGAGCGATCCGTTTTATATGGCAGCTATATGTTATAGTGGCCCGATCTGAACAATTTCTTCGGAAAAATTCTTTTGATGTTTTGTAAAATAAATAAATAATTATATGCCAAATTTTGTCACAATTTTTTTTTCAAATAAAAGATTTTTCCTCATAAAACTTATTTTTTTCGGTCAGTATGTATGATAGCTATATGTTATATTGATCCAATCGGAACAACATGTACGGAGATTAAAGCAAAGACAGAGTTATTAATATGAGCCTAATTTCGTGACACTAACTTTTCAAATAAAAAAAATTTTCTCAAGAGAACATAATCCTGATCGGTCAGTTTGTATGGCAACTATATGCTATACTGGTTCGATCAGAATAAGTTTTAGCCAGACTGTGGCATAACTTTGAATAAAGATCTGTGTCAAATTTCGTGTAGATATCTCTTCAAATGAAAAATTTTACCCTACAAAGGTTAGAGTTTGATTGGTCACTTTGTATGGCAGGTATATGGTATAGTACTCAGTTACACGCGGTTTCGGCAAATAAGCAGCTTCAACAGACATGTGAAGAATTAGAGAGTTATATCTCGAAAGCCGAGTGAGTAGTTTGTGATGTAGGACAGGCATGACTAAATCGAGTCAGTTGGTCACATTGATCACTACTATGTACATTCTGAGTGCTACAAACGTCTACTAGGCAAGGACTGCATGATCTAAAGCTCCTTTTTTATTACTTATACTCCCGTATAAAGTCCGGTCACAACGGAATATACAAAGAAGTGCATGAACTCTTTAGAAATACCTTAAAGCTTCTTCTTATTATACTTGTATGGGAGTCTGATCACCGGAGCTGAGCTCAGCAAGCGTCTGACTCTCAACGAAGCCAATCTTGCGCAATTGTTGGTGTTCTGACCTGGCACTCTTCAATAGCTTTACACGCGGTGCGGCTAAATATTCTGGCGTACGTTCGTTGCCAAAGCTATATGCAGGAAATCATATAGTCTCTTTTCTTTTGCCTATTGCCTGGCTTTTGCCAGACTGAAATAGACAAAGCTTTGACGTATCTTGCGAAGGTGCTGGTATTGATATTAACCGGCTTAATAAAAGCTTCGATGAGGATCTGCTGACTTACTTTTAGGAGTTTATGGGGAACACAAAGGCCAAATATGTATGTGCCGAAGTGAAAGCAATCGTTTTTGGATCAACCCTGTGACCTAAGCTAACATAAACTTCATAGCAAATTTAATATTTGCTGTTGAGGATATACAAAATTGGAAATTTGCAAGAAATATTTTATAGAAAAATAATATTTTTCTGCAATACTTTCGAAATTAAGAAACATGTGTTAAAATATTTATACTATAAATAAGCAGAATCATATAATAGTTTTATAAATCGCAAACTTTTTATTGAAATCTGTCTTAAATATAATAATAATATTAAAGTAANATAAATCAAAATAATTTTTTTTGTTTTAATTGAGTACAAAATTTAGAAATTTCAACTATGAAATACTGCGTACTCATATTTCTGGCCTTCACTGTAGTTGCTTATACCAATCTGTTATCGCGCACACTTGTTTTATTTGTACTCAGCAGTCGGTTTGTGCCGCTGTGTGTGCCGTTGTGTGTGGTTGGCCTTCCCTCGGTCTTTATGTAAAGTATTTGTTGTTGTGATATTGTTGCCATTATAAATATTGCTACTACACGTTGAAAACACCGGTCAATAACACAATTGAATTCACACACACACATATACATTCACACACATTTTCCTAATTACAACTAAATTGACTAAACCAATACTTAAATATTTATACTACAACTACACACACATACACATACAACATTGATTTAATAGCGCTCGCTGCACTCATTCATAATTTACGAGTTTCCATAACATATTTCTAAATTTTCGTACCTAATTTATTTAGTTTTATGTTTTGAGTAATTGTTTTCTTTTCATTTATAATATTTAATTTTATTTATCTACTAGATACATACAAACTATTGAGATAAAGCTTTCAAACTCCTTAGGGGCATTAGGGGGTACTAGGCTCTAAGTGGGGTCGAGAGTGATGTGACGGGTTGTGGTGGTGTTGTTTTAGTTTTTTGTTTTTTTTTGGGTTGTTGTTGGTGGTGGTGAAGGTAAAAAACGTAGTTGTAAAAGTTTTGCTCTCACTTGTTTACCGTTACTTGATTGACTATCAAAATGCTAATGCATCATTAATAATACTCGAAAAGTACATTGCGCCTATATATGTGTAGCTATGTATGTATAAGTATATAAGTGTATGTAAGTACGTAAGTATTTATACATATTTGTATTTAATTTTTTATTTTTATTTTTGTAGTTTGTAGAATCTTTTATGCTCTCTTGCAAGTTTTTAGTTTTTTTCTGGCTTACATAAATAGGTTTAGAAGTATATATGTATGTATGTATTTCGTTATATAAAATTATATTAACAACATTTTACTTCATTTTTTTTTCTTTTTTTTTTGAGTTGAGAAAAAGTGAAATAATAGTTTCTAAGAGACTAGAAGTGTAAATACATTCGCGAATCAGATCTTCTTTGAATATACATACTTCCATGTTTGTATGTACTGTCTGCACTGTAAGAATATTTGGTGCAAATTTTACTGTTATGTTCCGCTTAAAATTTTAGAATTTTTTCAATTTATTTTTTTCAATACACACCTTTCACCGTTACCTTCAAGGCCATAGTAGACAATATACGTGCGTTGACAGTTACAGTGATATCAAAAAGTAAGGGACATATTATTTTTTTACGCAAAACCAATCTGAAACATGGAGAGACTTTAACTTCAGTGGCACTGAAGCTATACTAGCCTTCACAAATGCAAAATATTGCTTACAAGTTCTTCGATCGGTCAGTTTATACGGATGTACGGCAGCTATATGCTATAGCAACTCGATCAGAACAATTTCTTGGCAAATTGCTTCATTCTCTTAATGCTCATGCCATGCTAAATTTCGTGAAGATATCGCGACAAATGAAAAGTTTGTTTATACTAACACTTGATTCCGATCGTTCAGTTTGTATGGCAGCTATATGCTATAGTGGTCAGATATCGGTCAATCCGACAAATGAGCAGCTTCTTGGCGAGAAAAGGACGGGTCCAAATTTTCAGTTCGATATCTCGTATACGTATAGACGAACAACAGACGGACGTTGCTAAATCAACTCAGCTTGTTACGTTCATCATCTTTTATAGAGTGCCCGAAGATTCTTTCTGAGTGTAACAAACTTCGTGGCAAATTTTAATACATACAGGTTTGCTTCGGAAGTAGTAAAACTCGATACATTTATTACGTGAAAGATGCCGTTTAAGTTTGTCCAATCTCCAAAAAGTTCTCGAACCTTTACATTTCAGAACCGAAATATTTTTATAAAATTTGCATTTTTTAGAGTCTAAGGAACCAAATACGACTTAAATCGGAATGCGATAAAAATTTGGATTAGAAGATTCCGGCAACAAGTTTACAGCCTAATGACCTTAATATCTCGATGGTTTATTTGTATCCACGAATTAAAATCGATAAAAACTTCGGTTAGAAGATTCCGCCGACAAGTACGGCGTTAAAAAAATAATACAAAAAGTTGTTGACTACCGAACCTGACCTTAATATTCCGATAGTTTATTGGAATCCACGGGCGCTCAATTCATTTTCTGCCTCGACTGCATATGTCTTCAAATAAAGCAGGGTATTCCAAGAAAATGTTTCGACTTGGGAGAACCGGTTTAGAAACCGGCGATTTGAACCTAGTTTTTCTAGCTTAGAAAACAATTAGACAGATTTTCAACTCCAACAGCTAGTTTCGGTTGGTTTCCAACACCACGCTCTCAGCGCTTTAAACGATTCAACATTCTATTTAAAATTTCAACGCTCGTACGTCATCTCCATGGCCTTGAACCCTTGCCTAGTATCAGTTATTGCACCAACTCTCTTACGTCTGTCTAACTTTTATTAATTATACGCCTACACCGATGTCGTTATCTGTTCGACATATTGTAGTGGTTTGGAGAGCGATTGTGAGCGTCGATGGCGGTAGCGCGGTGTCGTGGCGGCTCCGTGTATAGCTGCGACTGCCGCCGCCGTTGCTGTGGCCGCAGCAGCGCCAACACCCCTTTGATGATGCCGACACATGAAGTCGTAGTCGTGATCATGACGCGGCAAATAGATAACTTCACGTGATAAGGCAGTGGAAGAACCGAGACGCGATGTCGTCGTCGCTGCTGGCGTTGCCGTTGTCTTGCATCTGCACACCTGATTGCCGATGGTGGAGAGACCTTCAGGCACGCTGCGACTACGCGAGTTTTGCAAATAGTTCGTGGAGCCCTGATTGCAGGTGCACAGCAGCGGTTGATGTATGTGAGATCTGTGAATCGACAAGGTTTGGAATTTTCATTAGTTTTATATTGCGAAGTGTTGAATTAGAGGTAAAGCGAAATTAAATTGAAAAGTGAGCTGATTTCTTTTGGGTTGTTTCTTGAACCTTCATAAATCTTGCCGAAAAATATAAAATTCGAAATAAAGAAACACTCACCTCGGTGATGTCTGCGCCCACTGATAGCTGTCGTGGCAATTGCAATACCATTGTCCATTACAGCAGTACGGATTTTGGATGAAAGACAAGCTCTTCTGCAGTCGCTTGCCCATGCTGCGTCCCATGCTCGCATAACCCTGCTCAATATCATAGTGTGGACTCTGCGGTCGACTCATATCCGTCATATGGCCACGGCCTCGTGTCGCACCCGCACCGTGTACCGCACAGTTTTGCAGTTTGTGCACGCTCGGCATGCGCCAGCGATCACAGTAGGCATTATTGCGACAGAGATTCTCAAAGTCTACTTGATTCAGGCTTACACAACTGCGACTCATTAGTAAATCGGGCGCGGGATAATCACAGCCATTGTAGACATTAAAGTCCACCACGGGCTCATGAAAGCCATGTAGCTTGCAATATTGAGGAAATGGACGTAGCGTCGGTATAGCGCCATTGCCATGCTTCTTATTGTTGCCCTGACTGCTGATCTCCTGCTCCACGGTGGAGTAAGTCATGAAGAATATTATGATACCGCCAATAGCGGCGGCTGCTGAGCAAATAAAATAACCAGCGCGTCCATAATTTAGTGAGTAATCGTTCAGGAAGCTGGTCAGCGGTATGCTAATGAGCACCGGTAGCGATTCAGCGCCTTTGATGAGCCCTGAAAATGGTAATGTTTAACATTAAGAATTTCTACGTCATATTTCATATTTTATGGACTCACCCCATGCCTTCGAGAACTGTTTCACCTTAACGCGATCCAGCGTTAGTATTTTGAAGGCATAACGGAATCCGCCGAAACCAATGCCGTACATCCAGCCGAGTATACAAAACCAACGAAAGCTTACGACGAAGGACAGGCTCAATATCGAAATTGCTATCAGCGCAATAAATACCTGTAGAGTAGCGAATGTACTTTTGTAAAGAAATTTCGGGATCTTTTGTATTATGTGGACTTACCTGAGACACAATTTGTGAGGTTATTAAAAAGCTACCTATTGTAAAAGTCTTACGCAATATTGTACCGGCTATAAATACGCCGATTGTGGTAGAGACGCCTAAAAAAGTCTGCAGCAGTACCAAATCTTCTATATCGGGGCCCTCCTTGGCAACAGTCAAGGTCTAGAAGAAAACAAAATTTAAGTTATACAGAATTATATGGAGGTTCAAACTCAAATACTAAATATTGCAGCCCATTTCTCAATTAGTTTGTTGTAATAAGATCGAGATCGAATGGGTATTTGTTTTAGAGTGCAGCTGGCTTAGAAACAAAAAACAAAACATTTTTTACCAGGGTTCTATTCAGTTCGAAGCGAAGTGGTCTGAGATAAGCAGGGGTCATGAGAAACCTTAGGCATCTCGAAGGCTGAATGATATAGTCCCTATTTGAGGAGTATTCTCATCCAAATTTTATTCTACCATATGAAGTAGCCGCGCATTTTTATCCGATTTAGCTCAAGTTAAATGAGCTTATAAAGTAATTATTAGTATATCGAGACATATTAAAAAGCACAATTTTGCAAGAACTATTTGACATTCATGAAGCACTTGAAGTCTTATGATGTAGTAACCTATGTATAGGTCACTTTATCAAAGTTCGGTTCTGTAGTCCATAATTTTGAGAATATTTTAAAAGTTTACCATTGAGATCATGGGCGTGTAAATTCCCAACGCCGCCACGGCAGCTGATACGAGAAGTATTTTCACATTAGTTGATTTGAAGGGTGATATGTCGATAAATAAATAACGGACTGTTTTCTGTTCTGTTGTGACCACAGCTCTGGATTTGTTCTCATGCATCTGTGGACAAAGATTTTTCATTTTAAACTATTAGTTGATACAAAATAACTTCCAGCCTCAACCTTTTTTCTCTGGTTTTTCAAATGTTGTATGGCGCGCCTTTGGGGATGATATAGTGATGCGGGTCTATATAATAAACCCATAAAGAAACTAACTGCTACGAGGCCAGCAACAATTTGGAGACCAACACGCCAACCAGCATTGCTGAAAGTAGAGATTTAGTTTTTTATTTTCTGTCTTTGAAGGTCGCTTTTTGCTGAGCAAATAGTGGTGCGAAGCGCAGTGCTGAGAGTAAAGCCGGTATGAGGGCTCTCCCCTCTGACTTTCTTCGCGGTTGAGTTATGTTTTCATTTTCATTTCTAATATAGACTATTTGCTCTTGAAGTCTTGAAGAAGAAAGTACTTACCCAACACCCTCTCGCAGTATCACAGAGAAAATCGATATGCCCACGCCTTCGCCAGACATGGCGACCATTTCGACAAATTGCCTACGTCGCTTAAAATAATTACCTAACATTATTGTGGACGATTCACGAACCATGGCCACAGCTATACCAAAAACAATACCTAGAAGGAGTACAAAATGCTGAGTGTTGTATATTTTTTCTAAAGAAAATATGCCTTCTTGAACTTAGGTATATTAATAAGTAATATGAATAAATATTAAAGCTTCTTGAACGTGTTTACTTTCCTTAATAAACAACACTTACCATAACTAAAAAATATTTGCCCCAACTCCGTTGCGAAGGAGGTAAATAGTATGCCTAACGGCAGCACTAGACCACCGACCACTGCCATCAGTCGCGTCGATTTCTTTCGACAAAATGTGATCACAAACGGTGATAGTAACATAGAAATTGACCAGTTTAAAGCACCAACCCACTCTGTAACAGAAGGAAGTGAAAGAGAGTGTGAAATTTATATGATATAATCTAAAAGCAGTGTCTTACCAATGCCATTGGAGTCTCTCAGATGTTCTATAGCATAGAAAAGCAATAGACCGCTTGACAGCTGTAAACCTGTCGTTAGTATATGCACCAAAAAGGCTATGCTACATATGATCCAACCCCAGCCGCCATCCGGATAGAAATACTACAATGGGAAGAGAAATTTTAAGGTCATTATTTTACCATTAACCTAGCCCAACTTTGTCGTTGTTAATGCTGACACGAAATTTTATGGGTAGAAACTCTGGAGACTGAAAATTACAAATGTAGATGTCGCTTTGTTCAAGATTATATAAATAGATAAAAAAGTATTATTCTTTCGGGGTTCTAAAAATACAGTTAGTTAGTCTTTAGTAGATTTGATAAAATCAATCAATTCCATATAAGAAGATGTGAATAGAACTAGGCGTCTGGTGAAACTCCCAAGCTTACAGGATGGACGCCAATGAGCCAATGGCCTGTTAAAAGCCACACACAAATAGGGAGAACTAGCCTTACTGCTTGCAAAGATATCATTAGATCTACTGCGATTAATCTATGGCCGAAAAGGCGCTGGCCAAGCTTCGGCGAAGCCTAGCTATCTAGTACTAGAACAAAAGGACCCGCTCCGATTCTACCGATAGCGGTTATAGGGTACCTTTCCTTGCTATCTCAACAGCTTTACAATTTTCTGCGATTCCACTATTATCCGACACCTCTGCTTTCTTTGTGAAAGATCACTGTTCTAAAGGAGGCTGCACTCCGGAGCAGCAAATCTACTGCTACCTTAATGGCCGCAACTTTGGCTTGGGAGATACCGCAATAGTTAGCAAGTCTAAAACTGGAGTTGATAGAGAGCTCTCGACAGTAAACCCCTCCACCAAGAAGCTCACTGCCCCTTTCTTCCGGAGGCTTCTTCTGAATCATAGCTCCCTCGTTGTTATATGGGCAGCGAAGGAGCCACCAGAGCTCAGTTTGACGACTACATGAGCCAGATGATCCGGTATGAAGTAAAACTGTCTGAGGATATCCGAGTGTTCAGACACGTGTGATATTTTCTAGAGCCCTCCACCATTTAAAGACTCCATAAAACATAATGGGCTTGACATAGAGCCAGAGGGCCATTTTTGGTGAGAGACCCCAAATCTTTTCAATGGCTCCTCTACAGCAGTATAGGGCAATCGAGGCCCTTTTCCCTCTCTTCCATATTCGGCTTCCAATAAAACTGTCTTTCTAAGATGAGCCCTAGATATTTCATTGTATCCGCCGGTTGAAAGCGGAAGTCTTTTATATACGGCAGCGGTGCTACCGGGACCTTCTAGTAAATAAAAGCATCTCGGTTTTATTTGGGTTGAAAGCGAGACAACTTAAGACCGCCCAGTTTGTTATTACGCTGAGACAGTCCTTTGACTATAAGTACTAGATCGTCTGCATAAGCAATTACCCGGCAGCAAAGATCCTCAAGTATTTTAAGCAGGTCGTTAAAGACCAGGATCCATATAAAATCAAAGAAAACTTCACCGTACTCGCATTTCGCCGCGCGCACATGTTGCCTCATTCCGTTTCAATCATTTTGTCGTTCAGAAGACCTAAGACCACGAAGTGAACTTAAAGCATTTTAATGATATTGATTTGTTTTATATTATGTGCTGACAATAAAAGGGCGCTGTTTATTGTCATTTGCTTTTATATAACCAAAAATTTAAATTTTAACGCAGGGATAAAACATTCGATTTAAGCAACACCGAAACGTTTATTTTCCAACATAAAATTACTGTAAATCCCTAAAGCTTAATCGCTAAACATACCTGTCTAATTCCTGCCGTGTCAACACCAGTACGCCGCAGGGCTGGTATATTTCGGTGCAGCATGTGAAATTCACGGTCGTGGAAACCCGGAAATGCCGAATCCTCCTCATCGGTCAAATGTGTATTGTGCTCATAGCCTGCGGGAGCAAAATAAAAGAAAACAAAACAAAAGACGCGCTTGAAATTTATTAACCCCAACAGTAATCCATCATTGTTGAGCTAACTCACCGAAATAACAGCCGTTGGGCACCAAAGGTTTATGACTGTCATGCAGTAGCGCGGCGCGTGGATACTGCTGTTGTTGCTGCTGGTGTGGGTGCGTTGGCGGCGCTTGCTGCTGACAAGCATGGCCCAACCCACTGCCAGCATACATGCATGTAGGCGCCGCAGCTGCCTGGTTGGCATTGTACAGATGACAGCAAGGTGTTGCGGCCGCATACTGACTCGGGTGCCATGTGTGACTGCCACTCACACCCGCGCCAACGCCACCAGCACCACCACCACCGGCAACAGCCGGCAAATGACGCGCACAGTACGCGCGTTGTGGTGTGTCCAACGGTGCGGCGGCTGCTGACGATGGCAATGTTGCATAGCTGCCATAAAGATCCATATTTTGTAGCGCGGTAATGGAACGCGAATGCGAGAGCGCGCATGGCTGACGTTTCAGCGTGCCGCCGCTGGCACCGCCAACATGTGACGGCTGCATACCGCCATGATCGAGTGGATAATGGACACTTGATTGCTGCCGCAGACAACGATTGGAACCATAGAGTTGTTGGCGCGTGACGGTCTTTTTTGCGGTGGCTGTGGTGGTGGCCATGTTGCTGCTGCTGTTGCTGTCACTTGGCGTGGGCGGGTCTTCGCGCGTGACGTTGCTTATTGGTGGCGCGGGCAGGGGACGCTGTTGTTGGTGTTGTTGTTGCTGTTGATAATCGTAGTTGCTGCCGGCGACACGCGTCTGTGGTATTGCTTGTGTTGGCTGCGCTGGAGTTTTTGCTTGGTGTTGTAGTTGTGGCTCCGTTACGGCAGCGGCGCTTTGTTGTAGGCTCAGAGTGGAGCCCAAATTGGAGAGACGCGGACAGGAGACCCACCAAGTGATTGGTTGATTGTTGTATCTACAGCGCTGACACAAATAACGCGTCGCGGTCACGGCCGGTGTAGCAATGGACGATGTAAATTCTTGTTGCAATTGCTGCGCTCTGTTGATTTTCGGGGTGAGTGCTGTCGGTTTGTAGGACACAAACGCCAAAGATGTTGATTTCGCTGCAGACGCGTTTTTTGCTGTCGTCGAAGTCGCTGTCGCTGCGGCTGTTGACGCGTCTACTGCATGCGCCTCCTTTGCGGCTTTGGCGCTGTGCTTGGTTGTGCGCGCCGCGGTGAATGTGAGCGCGCAAGTGACTGTGGACCTATCGGGATGTGTGCAGGCTTGATTATTCCTTCGTCACACGGCACAACGCTGACAAAGCACTGGACTGCGCGACGGGCGGGTACGTACTAAACTCGAGTATTGACGTGTTTGCTGATGTGTCGACTGATAATGCTGTTGCGCTACTTGTTCGCTGGCGCTGATGTGTGGACAATGTGGTTGTTGTTGTTGCTGTTGCTGGTGTTGCTGTATTAAATCGCAATGCTGCGTTAGCTGTGGACAACTGCCGTACAATGCGGACGATGAATTCGACAATCGGCGATAGCAATCACCATTGGCCATTATATCGCTCGGACGGCGATCGGTGATGTTGGTGCTGCACGAGGCGCGGTCGCTGCAATTGCAATCACATGAACAGTTGTATTTCATTTTATACGCGGCGCTTCAACACCGACCAAACACAATGTCGCGCAAATAAAGAAAAAACCGAAAACTAACGCAACAGCTTGCAGCTAACGCCTGGGCGCAACAACTAAACCCCAACAAACAACCAAGTCCGCAAGTAAACCCGAAAATAATAATAACTTTGTATACGACAGGGATTGCGCGCTGTATGGTGCCACCGCGCGCTATCACTCTTCTCGTTTTATTGTTGTCGTGGGAGTTGTTGCAAAAACTTGGACGGTGCGCGCCGCGCACTCGACGTTGTTGCGTTCCGCAGTCCAACTCACTCAGCTCATGTGAGCCGGCACTTGTGGTTGTTGTTGTGTGCGTCGTTGTTGCTTTTATTTTTAATATTTTTATTATTTTTATTATTTTTGTTATTGTTGCTGTTGGTGGCAGTGTTAGTAGCGGTTATGGTTGTGGCAGCGTGAGCAGTGGCGGTGGGAGCGGCAGCAGCAACAGCCGTGGCGCGCGTAATGACAGTGGCAATGACACTGTTGCACATCATTTGGGAGCGATCAGCAGCATTTTGTGGCAGGCGGCAGTGAAATGGCTGCAAAAGGATAACGTCACAAAAATACAACAACACACATATGTCATATTGAAGTGCAAATTTAATTTAACAATGCCATAAACAGCGCGCTTAAATACTTTAAATGAGCCGATAAAATATATATTTTAATATTTTTAAAGCAAAAGCGCACACAAACACATCTCTATATATGTATATATATATATATATGTATAAATGCATATACTAAATGTGCGTTTGAGTGGTTGCGCATAATTTCGCAATGAAACAATTTCAGCCGCATTTGCATAAGCGTAAAATGTTAATGCCGCTTGTGGTTGCACGGTGGTGAGTAGGCGACTGAAAGTTGAAGAAATTTATGCGCAAAATTTTCAAGCTTTAATTTTGCTGGAAATTTAGATTTAATTAAGTGAAGTCTTACCGCTGCCTTAGCAACCGCGCAGAGTTTGAAGAAGAGACCTATTATATTAAGAATTTATTATCTAAGCAATTTTTCAAAAAAAAAAAAAAAACTCATTAGCTAGCTTGCACATATCCATAACAGTTCTTTGTTAGAGAATATATTGTATATAAAAAGACCCGGGCTCTAAGCACAGAAAATTCTTACTTCGCCACTAGAAAATTGAACCGAAAACCGTAAAAAAATAACTGTTATCTAAGCCGGACTCATTCTTCTTCTAAAAAAAACAATCAGAAGTTCCATATATTCGCAAAATTTTCCCAGATCTCGGCTCTCCACTTCTACCATAAATAGTTTACAAAGCGAAATATATTTTGTCTGTCTAACAAACTGAGACCCTCTCAATATAATCAGAATCACTCAATGCTCTCGATTCCAAATTGATAAGCTCAATATATGCGCTCAAAGGTATTAGAAAATGCTGTTGCTTTTATTGTTGTAACGGGTATATGATCCCCGTTAAGATGGTAAGATTTCGATAAGTTGTCGTCGACGTCATCCAACGGTAAGTCCGGGAAACGTGCTGTTTCGATGGGGTCGGACTAAAGGAAAAAAGTGTCAGATGAGTAGGATTAGGAGGGCATGCAAAGAGGTGGCCAATATTTTGCGGGTCCTACAGTACCCAGAACGAAGCTGTGATCTGCGTTGCCTCCCGCCAAAGGCCCCGATAAATTTTAGTATTAGAAAATAGCATCAGGTAGTCTTACATAAATTTGTATCCAACAGTTACTTGGTTGCAATTTCAATCATAGAATCAAAATCCTTTTTAACATGAACAATGTTGTAGAGAATTGGAGGAAGAAACTACCTTCGAATCAATATGTCAACTCAAAGTTCTCACTTTATGTTTGAAAACAGTTAGGTTATACAAGTTCTGTTGACTTAGTACAAAGAGACTGTTTTCATAAAATTCTTTGCATCACAAAAAGTCCCGATCAAACGGATTTCCTATTCATGCATAAAATCTAAATCTGTTTCCTCGAAAACCCTAAATTTAAAAAAAAAATTAAGCTTGGTGAGCCTTGCAATCGATTAAAATAAGTACCCAGTCGAGGTTTACTGACTAGTAGATAAAGTGTGAAATTTAAAATTTTAGACTAAAACCCTTTTTCTATGGTATCTCCTGAGCTCAACAAACAGAAAAATTTTACAATAGTCTTCATCACATTTAACATCAACCTACGACAAGTTACTGTTTGATTCATAGTTAGTTAAGGCTTTTTACTTTTTTATATCAAAGAACGTGTTTCTACTACTTTCATACTCCCACCACAGACAGCGTTGGATCTTTCATGGTTAGGCAGTCGGTCTCCTTTCGAAAAACTGGTCCCAGCTAGTGGCCGCTGGTTGGAATAGACCATCTCACATAAGTCGATATTGGCATGGCACACTCTTCTGCATTATGAAACCGATGCAGGTCCAAAAAGTTACATGGTGACATTTGGGGTACCACAAGAGTCCGTACTAGGTACAGCGGTCACATTGAAGATTGTTCTTGCAACACAAAAGTTACTGAGAAACCTTGGCGTTATGATCGATACGCAGCCTAATTTCAAAGCGTCAATGTGGAACTGTGGTGCGGCGGCTACAGTGACAGCGGTCCTATCGAGAATCATGGCCAACATTCGTAACCCAAGCCAAAGAGAGAGAACTCTACTAGCTAAAGATAACTAGTCAATGATTATGTGTGCAGCTTCTGTAATACAAAGGCTTAGAGTTGCTTGCGGGTTGAGAACGGTATTACACGAAGAGGTCTCTATCAGCTGGCCTTGGAGTTAAGAAGAGTCTATCTTCAAAAAACAACGCGATTAAAAACGAGATACATTCCGACGAGTGGCAAAAAACAAAACAAAAAAAAACGCAAGATAGTGAAAGTTGGACATAATGGCTCGTTAGGAATACTTATAACAGCCTGGTTTGACAAAAAATTCGGTCCCATTAATGCAGTTCTTTTCAGGCCATGTCGCCCAACAAATAGTGAATCACATGCTGCGATGACAGCTGATATGGAATAAAATGAAAGAGTGGTCCGCAATAGAACTAAGAAATATGTAGCTAACAATGAGATAACGGCAGCGAAGAAACATAATACCACATTAACAACCCTGAATGGTGTGTCTGAAGAGGCACTTTTCGCCCAGTTTGGCTTTGATAAGTAGAGAATCACTTCAAGCCATGTTCGAGCTATAAAGTGAATGCCGCAAAATCTCCCAAAAAATCTTTGTGAGCTACTGGCGTCCTATTATCGATATGTTTGGCCTGCGTTATCCCAATGGAACATAATTTCTTTTCTACTGACCAAAGCTGACCGCTTCTAACCGATTGATAAGTTCAGGAGATCGAATTATTAATAGTCAGGTCTGAGGATTGACAAGAGTTTGGTGGCCGTTTACCGCAACTGCTCCTATTTTCTAAGAATCGCTCAATTTTATATCAACGAATTTTTAAAATATTCTAGATTAAACTGTAAAACAATATTTAACAAGTAAAGCTAAGTTCGGGTATCACCGAACATTTTATACTGTCGCATGATAAAGAGATAATCGAGATTTCATTATCCGTCATTTATATTACATACTTTTTTATTTTGCTGTAAAATTAATTAGATTAGATCAATTTGTGTACTTTGAGTATTGAATTGTATTTTCATGTATTTTAATTGTATTGAAAAGTTATAGTCCGATCACGACAATTTTTCCACAAGGAATACCTCAGCTCGAATACCGTATTTTTGTAAAGTTTTATTCCGCTATCATCATTGGTTCCTAATGTATATATTATAGAGAGAAGGTATCAGATGGAATTCAAAATAGAGTTATATTGGAAGAAGGCGTGGTTGTGAACCAATTTCACCCATATTTCGTACATGTCATCAGGGTCTTAAGAAAATATTATATACCGAATTTCATTGAAATCGGTTGAGTAGTTCCTGAGATATGGCTTTTGGTCCATAAGTGGGCGACGCCCCCCCCCCATTTTGAATTTCTAAAAAAAGGATGTTTGCAGCTTCCTCCTGTCATTTCTTCCGTAAAATTTAGTGTCTCTCACGTTTTTTGTTAGTCGGTTAACGCACTTTTAGTGATTTTTAACATAACCTTTGTATGGGAGGTGGGCGTGGTTATTATGCGATTTCTTCCATTTTTAAACTGTATATGGAAATGCCTGACGAAAACGACTCTACATAGTTTCGTTGACATAGCTGCAGTAGTTTCCGAGATATGTACAAACAGCTTACTAGGGGCGGGGCCACGCACACTTTTCCAAAAAATTACGTCCAAATATGTCCCTCCCTAATGCGAGCCTTTGCGCCAAATTTCATTTTAATATCTTTATTTATGGCTTAGTTATGACACTTTATAGGCTTTCGCTTTTCGCCATTTTGTGGGCGTGGCAGTGGGCCGATTTTGCCCATTTTCGAACTTAACCTTCTTATGGAACCAAGAAATACGAGTACCAAGTTTCATCATGATATCTCAATTTTTACNCTATAATACTCTCCTTAGCAACTTTGTTGTGTGTGTATAATAATTTAGACCATCAGTAGAATTTGCTTCGGTAGTCATTGGAGAACCCTTATTTACCTAAGTTTCAGGAAATATTAGAAATAATACAGAAATATTAGCAAATAACATTCCGTCATTTGAATTTGAGCCATAACGGGCCACCCTTGTTATATATAACTACAATCAAATAACATAACTTTCCGCATGAACGGGTGCCATTGAATACGTCGAAAGAGCTATTATTTATTTCCCTTTCGAAAAACATATTTCACATTGAAAACGATGAAACGGCGAACTTTCGCAAATAAATGCCTCCCACAAACAGCCACTTCGCCTGTTCATTCACGCATAAAATTCACTCATTTATTATTTTATGCGCACATACAGGCACACACATGCAGCGGCGCCTAACCTCAAACTACTTTCAAATTCACAATTCGCACGCGCATCATTAGCCAAACCGAAAGAAGTGAACGTAAATATTATTGTATGTCTATCAAAGTTAATTGCCGGCCTTCCGCTTCACAACGTGGCCACTTGCCGCCCGCCTCCACTCCACTCCCCTCGTTTCGTCACGTCCCGTCGCACCGTGTCGCACCCCTGCTAACCGGCGCAACCGCATATTTTGCTCATCAACATCAGCATTCAATCAATCTTTGTTGAATTTGTGTCAAGCCCAGTTAGCACATACACACAGCCAACCACATACACACACATACTATACATGCGCCCGTCCAAGCAGCTTTGCTGTATTTATAAGCATAAACAATATTCAGGCGTTCTGCCCGCTCAGCCGACAATCACTGCCAAATCGAGCAAATGAACTCCGCCCAACGAAGACGCTGCCGGCCACCGTCTGCCATCACAGAACCCGCCTGCCACACGTTCAGCATGCGGCGATGCAGCCATTTTCGATCACCCATCAATCGTTACATTGAGCTCGTGAGTAGCCTCAATGCACCCACTCACTCATACACACAGGTGAAACACACACACACGCACACACATGTACGCGTGCATAGCGTGCAGCGGCGCATATTTATCCGAGCAATTTGCTT